TAAGCATTACGAACTATATTATTTCTTAAAGACCGGAACCATAATTCTGTTACATTTTGTACAGGGGCATCCAAAATGCAGGGGCCATATTAATAGTGGATGCCTTCATGTATCAGTTTGGTCCAAGGATAATGATAATGAAATCGCTAAACTAATATACCTGAATATGGTTCCAGAGTAATTTATGTAATTAGCAAGTGTAATGTACGTACAAGTGTGAAAAAATGTTAGTTAATCTGCGGTGTAGATATCCCGTCGGAACATCCTTTCTCTAGAACTTCACTTTCAGTGTAAATGAATGTTTTTAATAATCGAAACGATTATTAATATTAATATTTATTTCGAGTTATGAGTGTTTTTTTTTCAGATCTACAGCCAATACTTTGCACTTAATATGATATTATGTGTTTGTTATTAGAAAGAATCCTGTCAGTTCATAGTTTGCACAGCGTTCTTAGTCCAAATAATTTAATGCAATAGAAAATGCAGGACATTAGCTCCGTTCTGTTTCTTGTCATTTCTGAGGTGTGTTGTTTGTAATGTTGTTATGATTCACGAACTGATTTTGTAGGCACAACTTTCGTCTCAGTGGCTTCTAAACAGCAATTTTTTTAAACGAAATTAAGCCTTTGTTATCGTTTGTATAAAATTGTCTTAAGTTGAAAATGCTATCAAGTCTCTGTCCACATACTTGTATGTTAGAATGTTTGTAAATCAAATTTGACATATTTTTAAACAGTGCGGTTAGCTTTCTTTACAAAGACACCACATCAGGAGTTTCACGTTAAAATGAAACCGAGCGAAATACTAAAAATAAAGAAGTTACTGCTCATTATATTTTGAAATGGGCCCCAAAATGTAATATCATTTGACTGTTATTGGCTGATTTAAGTAAAAATACATAAAATGAAAGTAGGGTTATGTTTGTCTTTCACCATAATTTAGGCAGAGTTCGTGGGACACTCGGTATTGTATGGTACCTTACTTTCGAATAAAGCAAAGACTTACATTCTGACTGATGTTTAAACAATTTTTTTTAAAGCCAATCAAACTCTTCGAAGAGAACATCAAGTACAGTTGGAGTCAAAGTAAATTGTAACAGATGAAATTACATGTGTTGTATAATATCTAATCAATATTTTTACTCTTTGGTATAAATATTGGTGTATCGATAAGGCTGAACATTATTATAACTATAAATTTATTTCATCAAAAATTGTCTCGGATATTCTTCAATTGTGTAGAATAAGTATCAGCTTCGTCCACACAAAATGTTATTCTGTATTGAAACTACTTTTCTCTTCAGATTTCCATTTTGTTTAAAAATGCTAAACCGATTATCATAAATAATTGTCCAACAGCTGTGTGTTATCCTATACACATGACGCACTCTTTGTGCGGACATAGGAACCACAGAAGTAACTGCGATAAAATAATGGTGTTTGAACTTTTCAGCGTTTTAGTGAGTATTGGTGTATTATTTTTCCACCAACTTAACTGGCATCTTTTATCATTTTATCCTTACTCATAAAAATTACATTTTTTTGTAAAGAATTACGTTGGTGGTAATTATGCATCAACACATATTAATATTTTTTTATTATAATCACGTCGTAAATTGAATACCCTGGGACCTTGAATAGCAAAGCTACCATGACACCACCAAATCTCTGTCACATGTGTGTAACATATATCAATGTTCGTTGTATTAACTGTGTTTACAGCAGGTAGTGTATAGACATTTATACATTTCATGATATGCGTTGATGTCTCAACTGTTATGATGCTGAATATACACGTGGTGGACAAAACATGCAACCTTCATGTTGAAACAAAATAATAACTCTCTCATGCGCTTTATAACATTCTGTGTGATGATAAATTATTAGTAACCATTATTTATTCCTGTTCGTACACAGATTTATGCTTTAATAATGCATCTACATGAGCCATTATTTGACACAAATGGGTTAAATGTGGGCACTACGCATTTGAAAATGGACTATTAGAATGAAACTTAATATAAAACGTAAAGTTGCCACTAGACTCGGTATCACGTCAGTGGAATGCCCAGAGCTGGTAAACATATTAATTTTATTCTCTTGTTAAAGAAAATTTTGGGTGTATACTCTCTATGTCTCTGTCCAGACCGGCCCTGAGGCTTACCTAACCTAACCTAACGTAACGTAACGTAACCTAACCTAACGTAACCTAACTCACGAGCGACCAGTAACATTTTCTGTAGTAAAATAAATTTTTTACATTTACATTATACATTAGTAGAAGGATGGAAATTGAATGTTTATCTGGGCGTATTACCTCTTCGATTCTTTATAAGTATCGATCCTAAAAAGATAAAAATGTAAAAGTGTGTCAAACGGTGAACGCTATAATGGAAACAGCGATTCTTTAAAAATGCAAAAGGAGTTTTTCTTTCTTGTAAATCACATACATAATTAATTAAATTGGAACATGAAATTATATTATTTATCTTCATTGAGGCAATGTTATGATAAGTCATTAAACGGCTTATATTTATGTGCAAAGATACATATATCTATAAAAAAACATATAGGCCTTTTAGGATAATTCGTTGTAATTTTCGTACCGTAAGAATTACTTTTAAGCTGACTTTTCTTTAAAGCACTTCCTACTTGCTTTTTACTGAAAGTGAAGGCGAGACTGGGGCTGGAGGTGGTCAAGACCCTCGCGGTACACCGGGTGGCCACTCTCACGGAAGAGTTTAAAATTTTATGAAAGTTAAATAAGTTTCAGATGTGACGGGCACAGGGGTGTGGCTCTCGGGTTGGGGGGTGGGGGGAAATAAGTTGTCGCTGTGTGAAGTGAAAACGGGAATAAGACGACCTTGAAACTTTTGACGTCACCAACTTATACCTGAGAGCATCAAAGCAGAATTTTGCCACGTTCTTCCTGACTCTGGTTGTTGAGTTAGTGCGTCGGTGTTTTGTTGTGTTACTTTGCTTGCTTGGTGCTATTACTTAATTAAAGCTAATTAAGGAAGAATGACATTTTCTTTACCAAACGAAACGCGTATTGGAATGGTTGAAGAACGTAATTATTTTCAAGAGCTAATCAACAGAATGGTTGAAGAACGTAATTATTTTCACGAGCTAATAAACGGACTGAAAATGCATTAAAACTTTGAAGCCTTAAGAAATAAGAATATTGTGACTTAAGAATGGACAATTTTTTCAGTAGTAAATTTCTGTCTTTTATTTTTGTCAGTTGAACATTTGTCGGGGTATAAACTTGGTTTCATTTCAGAACTGGAGTATTTCAGTAAAAAGTAAGCATCTGGGAACACCCATATTGAAGATTTGAACATAAAAGCTCACATACGTAACAAATTAAATATATCTTTGCTACTGTATCGATATACGAGATTATTGATCTGAATGGCAACAATACTTACAAGGCAATGAACTTTAACCCTCTCAAGTCGAAGCTCATCCAAATAATATTTAAAAATTTAGCCCGTAAGAAATACTTCACCTTTATAAAGATCGATTTTTTTTAAACCTTTGTATGGAAATAATAGCTTTTTAGTATGAGAATCGTACGAAATCAACAGATCTCTCTGTGGGCAAAGTGGAGAGATACTGATTGTTAACGTAGGTGGTACAAATATTTATAACTGCCCCTTGAAGGTTAATTAACGACAGAGATGTAGTGGTTCATGGCATGCATTCACGTTTACTGTCCTGGCGTAATCTCGAATATATGTGTGTTTGTGTGCATTTTTTTTAATACAACGTAAAATCAGCTATTTTACTCTACCATAAAACATTCATCATTACTTACAAATCACAGCTTTTGACTAGTCTCTAAACAAAATTATGAATACATTTTAAACTAAAATATCACAATCATAAACAATATATATCATTTGAAGATCAATGTTTGGAAGTGTTTGTCTGAATATATTCCTCAAGACGTATATAAAAAGGAACAAGACATATAAATATATGACAGAGAATAAATTAACATATAAATAATTGCAATGTATCATTCACTATAACATTCTACATTAATCACTACATGTACGGATTAAGTACCGGTTCGTACTGTCTTGAGTCACGTGTAAATACAGGAGAACCATTGCGGGTACACACATAATCTCACAGTGCATGGCTTCCCTGTCGTTGAGATATTCTTATCTCGTCAATAATTTCCCCCTCCATCTGTCTCTTTGTTGCTTACTTATTATTGCTGAAGTTACAATAGGCTGTTTTAATATTAAAGATGCATATATATATATATTTCTTCAATACCCACGTGTTCACGAGCGAAGAAAATGTTGTTTATCGTATCCACGAAAAGATATCATTACCTCCCAGTGGAAGTTAATAAAGATATAACATCAGTTAGTTGAAATATACCTCTTTTTTTTTAAATTACATTACCTCAACGCATTCATAGAACAAGGCGCTACCCTGAGAATTTCTAAAATATTCATTAACATTACCTGTAGAATAAACATTGCATTCCAATATCGTGCATTGTCTAGTATGAATTGATTATTATGTCTACCAGAAGCTGAAGTATTCTGTGTGTGACCTACATCTAGCTCATGAATGAGACTTAATTATGTTAAAACCTTATTTCTACAATATTTGAGTGCTTAGTTGAGGGTAGTGATACATTACTCCAATTCGTATTACGTAATAAATAATGAGCTATTAATAACGAGAGCATTTTCGTTGATTTCAAAATATGCGTAACAGAACTTAAGTAGTTTGGTTGATCAGTAACTGTATCTTAAGTCAGATATAATCAACGGATATTCACAATATAAATAAGCAAATAATAATAATAATAATACTCAGATACGAGTACCCAAACACTTTTATGTGTTATAACGTGAAGTCCATAATTTAAAATTAAAACTATGTATTAAAGATTTACTTCCGACCCCGAAACAAAAATTCATAATTGTCTGCTAGCGAAAAACGTTTATCTTAATACAAAAACCTATTTGTGCTACTCGTGTAAATTTTATAACAGGTAAATTTAATATGCATATATATATAAACTGAAATTAAACGTTTGTTTACATTTGTGTTAATAAAATATATTTTGAGTATAAAAATTTGGGACTTCTCTTCTGTTTACTACTATAGACTAGAATGTATACTACATACTTCTAAAAGTCTTTATAATAATGATAATGATGGATGATGATAAGTGATGGTAAGATTTATCAAGCAACAAAGAGAGAGAGAGAAACACTCTAGATAGATTTTCCTTTCTTTCTTGGCAATAAATTATTACTCCGACATCTAATTTAACACGCATCTAACTAAACCGAAATAAATCTAAATATTACACATAACCTAACCTGTTAGTTTAGCATATTACTCAAAAACACAAAATTTACTTCAAATACATAGGTATAATATAGCTAATACAGCGAAAACACGTATATAGGATTCCAAAAATTTTAATCCTCCATAAATAAATTATAGCACAGAGATAAAGAAACTGAATAGCAATATTTAGAAATGTTAACGAATTGCATCCAGTCAACGGATTTTGCAGAGACGAATTGCCCCTAACCAGGTTGGTACTGTTTGGATTTCCTTGTAAATAATACAGCTGCTAGTCTTATCGGGGTGCAATCCGACAAAGCGTATTGGCACAATTTCCTGTTTTCACAGTAAAGGTTAGGACCTGGAATTAGTGCCTGTGTGAAGCCTACAAACAAGTCGGTAGCCAACTGAGTTACACTTGTATATAAATATAAATACATTTCATGCAAAAGGATCAACTAGGATACTGAAATTTAGGAAATGACAATTGTTATCTTTCTTTTCGGTATACGAAATCCCTATTATTAGAAAATTATTCGTTTATCTTTATGAATTAATTGTATGCAATATAATTATTAATCTTGAGCATGTATATTGTAATACATATTTATACCTAATATTAAATGTCTATCAACGAGTAACTTAAAGAACATTGAAAAATCTGTGAAGGTTTGATGAGAACATTCCTTCAAGTAGCTGTTAAAGATTGCAAGCTTACTTACACGAGTTATACCCATGACCTACAGACAAAATTGGGTCATTGTTTGGAACTTAGTTGCAGGCAATCAAATTAAACTAGCTCGATTTCTACTTCCGGGCATTCCTCTTCAAAGGAAATGGGAGCTACATCGCCGTTATCTTCACTTTCGCCGTCCTTGAAGCACGCGGACTCGAGGTGTTTGTTGAGGTAAGACTTGAGGGCGAAGGACTTGTGGCAGCGCGTACAGGCGAAGTTCTTGTCGGCAGAGTGCGTCTGCATGTGCGCGCGCAGGTTGGAACGGTCGGCGAACGCCTTGCCGCAGTGAGCACATCGGAACGGCTTCTCGCCCGTGTGCGAGCGGAGGTGTCCCTGGAGCAGCCAGGGTCGCGAGAACAGTTTCCCGCACACACCGCACGCGTGCGACAGCTTGTGCGTCAGGAGGTGCATGGCCAACGCGGGCATGCTGACGTACGCTTTCCCGCACGTGACGCACTTCTTGGCCGACTGGGAGTCGAGGCTTCGGTGCGTCTGTTTGTGACGCGACAGGTTGGACGATGTCGCGTACTGTTTCCCGCATTCCGAACACACGTAACGACCTGGTTTACCGTTACTTTGAGACGCTTCGGGAACTTCACAAGACGCCTCTTTGTCGGAAGAGGAGGGGCTAAGAGGCGGCAACGTGTTGCTGCTGCTTTTGTTCTTGGATCGGCCGTCTGACACCAGTAAAGCGTCGTAGGTGTACACCACGGAACTTTTGACAGCTCGGTGCGCCTCCAAGCCGACGAGTTCTTGCTGACGCACGTCTCCGTTCGTCGCGGACTGCAGGTTCGGGTTGTTGTTCTCGGCGTCCGAGGAGTATTCCGACGTGGGTGGTGTGAGAGAGGGCGGAGGCTGAGGTTTCGGAGACTCGGGCCGGGGGTTGTAGCAAGCCGGTGTCTGGTAACACGACATCGGTTCGGGGGATGGTGGACGGTAACGCGGCTGTGTGGCTGGCGACTGCGGGAGGTAGGCCTGGCTATGGGGTTCGGGGGTCGGCTGATCACGGCTGCTGTAGCAAGGAGGCAACTCGTGATGAATCGATGGCTCTTGCAACCTGTAGCATGGGACAGGTTCTTGCACCGTGGCCACGCTTGGGGCAGGGAGAGGTGGCAGCGAGCGAGACAGCTCCAGCAGGTCGTGAGCCGCCTCTGTCTCCTCCGCACTGCGCATGCGGAAGATGGGGATTCCCCCATCGTGCGACAATACTTCGGTGTGCACCTGAGCGGGTGGGGGTTCCTCGGGGCCCTGGGGCATAAACTCGTGCAGGTAACCTGCAACAAATAACACCTGGCGTTACCAGCAAGTTTATTTCGTTTGCCTCACGACCTAACCTTTTGTACGTGCTGTCTCGTTCCTCCCTGTAAATTTGTAAGTAGGATTTCCTTTGGACTCGTCATCCTTTCAGTCATACGAATTTAAACATTAGACCCTGCGCGCACGAGCGATTTGGAACGCACTGTTTCAGAAGGAAGCGAGCCTTTGAAATTTTCAAGGTCATTCGGTAGTCATTTTTCCAAAAGCATATTTTTGCCGGTCTGTAGGAACCTGAATCACCACATTCATGTCAGTTTGAGGCCATTGATATGTCATCACCTCAAGATCACGACAAGTTCAGTCCTATGTTTTAAGGAATATAAGTCTTTAAATTTTCCAATCTCACTTAAAGAACACGTATTATTTCTGTTATATTTACCTAACCGTGACCACTCTCATGTTAGTTTGAAGCCTCTTAGTCTCTGTATTATTTAGCCCTTAAATAAACAATTTCCTGGTGCCCTTACGTAGTGGATTGTACGTCAATATAGCGTAAAAGTCATATAATCTCGTAAGAAAAAAGATGGCGGTTCTCACTTTTTTCTATAAATATGCATCGCGTTTTTTTAATTCATAAAATATTAAGGCTAAATTCAGTTTATTAAAAAAAGGGGAGTTGTGTAGTTTTCTACCGGCTGGTATAATCGTTGTTTGGAACTCGGATGGATGGTTCATGTACAGTTACAAGGGAGATGAGATAAATATGAATTTTATTCGAATACGTTACCTTACTGTTAGTGCTAAGTTAACCTCATTTTATATAATTGCATTTGCGTATTCTAGACAATAGGATTAACTTTACTAGTAATAAAGTAACAGAAGCATAGGTGGATAAGGATACATTTTAACTCTCTTTGACACATCTGTGTGTTATGGAAGGTTCCCACGGGAATTTAGATAAATATCTTGAGTTGAAATTAATGATACGAACGTAGTAATGTGATCCTGAAGGAATTCAGGGATTATTCTTTATTGTCGCATTGCGTTCTGAGGATAAATCATACACGAGGCAGTTGTCATGGCAACCCATCGCTTTGGGAACTAGTTTATTTTTTTTATTATAAATTTTAGTTAAATACATGAACGAGATCAAAACAATAATTACTACTCTGCAGAAATACAATCAGAGTTTAATGGTTGTCTGTGTACTGTAATCGCGTCTGATGGTGACGGGCGAGATTGATGTTTGGGCAGTTTTCATGTGTACTCTAATGAATTACGCATTATCACTGTCCTGACACGAAGTCGCCCTTAATCTCGTCCTCAGGCAGATGAATCCAGTCCATTTCTTTCCTTCCTTTAACATCAAGTGGCAACAACTCTTTTGAATGGTGAAGTGTTGTGTTTTCTTCGCGGTACGGACTGATTCTTATATATTAATCACACGGGCGTGTGTCTGCAAAGACAATCAAGAATTAAGAAAATTACTATCAATCTCTCACGTAGGCTGATTTTTCCGTGTGAACGCCGCTTTTGCGCGGGGGTATGGAGGTTAATGTCCCTGGTCGGAAAATGGAGTTTTTTCTTGTTACGAAAACTTGTGTACGAGACGTCTCTCGTCCTCGTACTTCAGGTCATTCGGCCATTTTTTTATTTCAACGTCACAATACTCGAACGTGAAATGGAACGGAAATTTGAATTCTGCGTAATCTTGAAGCCGACGTCTGTAGAAAATAAAAACTGGGGGGGTGACACCCCAGTCGTTCTTCTCAGTTACCCTTTGCACTTTTCACCCGCTCCCCCTTCTCTATTTTCTTCACCGGTTGTCTCATTTTAAACTCCTTTATCCTTTATATAGGCAGGATTTTCCCCTTCCTTTAGCTTGGTAAGCGCCTTGTTTCGTCTCTGAATCGGCCTTTACCAGACCCACGTTTTTATGTCGGCTTCTTCCGCAGAATCTCCCCGTCCCCCGGTCCCTCGCCCCACTTTCCTCTCACTTGTCGTGCTTCTGGAAGCCCCCCCCTCCCCTTCCACTGAAAGCCCCGTCAGTCGGCTTCAGTTTTTATTCTTCACAGAGTATTCGAGTTCCTTCTTTATTTTATTTCAGATAAAAAGAAAAAATAAAAACTGTAAGATAAAAGACTTTAAAATAGCTTCAGGGCACTGAGCTCTTTAGGATCTATTTCACTACGCGTGTTGTTTGGCGTCTGAAATTCTGTCATATATTCTTATTTTTAGCAGAGATAATTGGTAATCTCGTCACGGCATGAACATTATCATTTATTGGACAATTTTTATTTTATTTTTGAATTTTTGCGCGTTGTTATAACACGACAATCAGGAAACGTTATTAAAAGCGTAAAGATTACATTTATCATTCATCGATCTGATGATGGAGGTAGCAGATACCTCTGGAAATTCGATAAAATTCTACCAGATTTCACGGCAGAAGACATCATCCTTGTATATTTATTTGATTGTTTGTGGGATGGAAGTGACATGTAGTACGAATTGAAGAGATGAAATGATGCATAAAGAATTCTAGCTTAAGTCCTGAGAAGAAAAGAGATGAGAGATGTGGTGAAGATGGAATTATAATATTAAAACGGATATTACATAAAATGTATAAGGTTGTGGATTGGATTCATGTAGCTCAGAATATGGACCAGTGGATAAATTTTTAGAAGTTGAGCGACTGTTGGCTTCTCAAAAATGGCTTCGCTGCACCGATTTCGATTATTTTTTCTAGGGACAAAATTGTTTCAGTAATTTTGTTCAATTTTTTTTTTTTTTAGAAATTGTATGCAATTGTGTCTGTTTCATGTTGGGTTCATATTTGTGCTGGGACTTCATTCATCCATTTTGTTTCAAAACACGAAAATATTGCGTAATTTTCGTAATTATTTTTTTACCACGTGATACACGGCGATGGCCAATACACAAAACATGGAATGTAAAAAAAATTCAAATTTAAAAGAGAAGGCTGGTTTTATATGTCAAGTCATGTTAGTTTAGTTAAGTTTATTTTACTTTAATTTATTTTAGCTTCCTTCCTTCGAACAGTAAAGCTTACGACTCAAAGTTTAGCATTTCCGTCTTTATTTCTTCAACGAAATAACGTAATTTTGTAACCCACTCAAAAATTGCACCCCCCCTTCTTTCTCCCGTTACCCCGGAGCCCTTCAACTTTTTAGTTTTAAACCATTATACGTAGCATCCAAATGCAATTTTCTGTTCAGCTGTTCTTGAGGCCATAATATCATCATAATTTCGCTTCTCTCTCCTTAATATGAATAGGACCATAAAGAAAAAGGTGGTTTAAAACGTCAAAGTTTGTGTAACGAGACCTTATTTTTATACACAGGCGAAGGCTGGGTCACTTGAGACGTTAAACACCACGGAATGAAGACGCTACTTGAAACAAGTAACAAAGTCTTGTTCTTCGTACGCAAATGTAGCCCGTGTATATACGGCTCTACCTTCATTTATCAGACACCTAAAAGACTTTCCTCTGACTCAACCAAGAAGATGAATTTATATGTTCCATAATATTAATAAAGCAACGCACAAGGTTTATAATAAACAACCCAGACTGCCCCTGTCCTCCCCCTCTATCTGTTTCCTTCCTTTCAAGTTAGAGATCAAGCTTCATTTTTATACGAAAGAACAGATAAAAGTACAGTACAACGGGAAGACATAAGATTATAAACTGCACGGTACGCATTAATTAGTGGCATTTGTTGTATCTTCAAATATGAAACGGTATAAGAAAGTCGAATGTGGTTGCTGCATATTCTGTTTAACGCGTCCTGACAGCCTGAGAACAAGAAACGTGCAGGATTTGAGGTTTCCACGGCGTTGAGTCGGAAGATGGCTGTCTTCTGGGCAGTAGCGCCAAGCGGTCTGGCCGAAGGTTACCAAAGTTTCATAGGTTCTTGCTGAATCCATCACCAGGGCGATGCTACCTGATGATGGAGGCAGCAAGAACCTCTGAAACGTCAGTAAACTTCCGCCAGATTGCACGGCGTGTAACCTAGAAGACAGCCATCTTCAAAAAACATAATAAAAGTAAAAGTAAAGTTTGTCCCACTATACGCCTTGTAGGCGTTTGGGGTGAGTGGAGGTATAGCTCCTCTCTTCCTTGACCTCGGCACTAGATGGGGGTGAGTGGTCAGCATCACGCCCCGGCCGGCTTTACCCCCGGGAAAGGACCCCGGTATCCATTGTAGAATTGCCATAATAAATAAGCAATTTCATATTTGAGCACCGTTTATTTTAAAAAAAAGAATTCACGTGTTCCGCTGACGGTGGAATAAATATGCTTATTCGAAATCGTGAACTTTAGTGAGAATCTTGTGTGTAAGTAAATTAAACTGAAAATGTGTGTGCAGAATTCGATGACGTGGAGGCAGCTTGTAGCCTGTCGGACATTCCTCCTTGAATTTGTAATTCCGTGACGATATAAAATCGAGACTCGAGAGCAGTAGGAAATAGCAGAATTTTTGTTTTGCTGAACTCGGATAATTTGACGACAAGTCGACTGGAGAGGGTGTCTCTGTGTTGCCAGTCATTCCTTGCCTAAGTCAATCAGGTATTTGATAAAATCTCTCCGGTTCACAGCCCTTTCTTTTCCAGTTCGTTGACTGCATATTCTAACAAACTCCTTTTCAATTCTGACATCGTCCGTGTTTCTGTGTTCCTTCTCTGCCTTTCTTTTCACGTCTATTTCATCCCGGCTCTTACGAAACCATAGCAACGGAAGAAACATGTAAAGAAGAACCTAACACTGTAAATATTTAATCCTGAAAATGGTAATTACATTTTAGATAACTTTCTTTTTGGTACGAGGAAACTGTTTATAAAGTTTTAGTATTCGTGATATAAGCCAGAGCAATTCAATTTATTATTTACGGAAAAAAAGTGAAATTTTTGCTTAGATTTTTAAGACAGCTGTCAGGACTTTAATTTCCGGTTTAAACGGACACTGTGACGACATTCTTGAGTTCAGAGCCAGGCG